AAACAGAAGAAGGAATTTTCTCGGGTAGTTTATTTATTTAAAAAAAAAATTAAGTAGACAAAAATAAAAAAAAAAATGTGTGGAACAAAATCAAACAGCCGTATTCTCAGAATACGGTTTTCTAAAAAAATAATTAACTATAAAAACGTATTCCGAGAATACGTTTTATATTATTTTTAAATAAAAAAATCAAACTTCGATTAATATATTTATTCCAATATAAAAAAATAGTAAATATAAAAAGTAAAACGTATTTTGGAAATACGTTGTAGAGAAAATGTATTTCGGGAGTACGTGTTATAGAAGAATTTAAAAAATATATATTTTTTAATTAAAATGTATTCTGAGAATACGTTCTACAAATAAAACTGTCGGTGGACGTATTCTCAGAATACGTTTTTAATATTAAATATAAAAAATTCTTTTCCTCTCCATTTCATTTACGCGAGAGAGCAGAAAAAGAGAGGAAGAAGAAGCGAAAAAATTCGGAAAAAAAAAACTCGATCCAATCTTTACCTCGGTGTGAATCGACAACACCGATGCGAGCCTCATTTTCGATTAATTCATTCGCACGAGGTATATTGGTTTATCTTTACTTTTTACATTATTTGGAGTTGTTTGGAGATTGAGGATTGTTATAATATGTTTGAATGTGGTTGTGTTTGAAGATTGAAAATTGTTAATTGTTTATCGATTATATGTGTATGTTGAATTGAGGATTGAAATTTTGTGTGTAAATTGTCAATTGTTTATTGTTTGATTGTTGTTGGGGTTAGGATTGTTCGAAATTAGGGTTATAATTAGAGCTTTCAATTTATTCGAATTATAGATGAATTTTATGTTATTGTTCGATTATGAGTATTAGGTTTTGGAGGATTGTTTGATTGAGAATTTTTTTATTTTTTATTTTTGTTGGAGGATTATTTGATTGAGAATTATAGATGAATTTTTTGTTGGATTATTCGATTATGTTGTTTTTTTATTTGATTGAGTATTAGTTATTGTTCGATTGAGATTTTTTTTTAAATTTATTTAGACATTATGTGTTGTTGTAATTGGAAAGAACTGAAAGTGTATTTTTGCAACAGGTATAAAATGGCTTCTTCCGGTCCGCACCTTGTTAACTTGTACTGGCATTTTGGGAAAGAAATGTTAAGCGATTTTGTTTCGTTTAAAGATCGTCCGAGTGGTTCATTTATTATTTCGGGGAGAATATCATATGAACAGTTGGTACAGATGATTAATGCAAAATGTCAGTTTGAAGAAGGTTGGACAATTCAGGAGATTACTATGATGATTAGCCAACCTGATGGTTCATGGAATCCCGCAATACTCAATAACGATAGTTTTGAATGGATTTATTACTTTCCTAGTATGTCCATGGTGTATTTGCATTTATCGTTGCAGGCAAATACACCCGTTACACAGTTTGAGGATCTTACTCCTTGTTATGGGGGAGTGTTTGATGTCGAGGGTACATCGACTTCTCATGTACATAATTTTGGAGAAGGGACATCGAGAGAATGGGCGGCTGATGAGGACGATGAAGATTTTATTCCCGGTGAAGATGATTTCACAGACGAGACCTCAGAAACCGAATCAGATAGATCGGTAAATGAGGAGAGTGAACCTGAGTTCATCGAAGAAGAACACCCATTTCCTAGCGGTGGTCGGCACATATACCGCGAGATGGGTGAATGTGACCCGTCCAGGATAGATGCGAACGAGTATGCTATTCCACTCTGGAATGGCGACATTGAGACCATACGTTTGAATACAGTATTCCGGAGCAAGGAAGAAGCTCAAACGGGTATAATGGCTTGGAACGTCGATAGGTTGCGGGAGATTCGGACAAAAGATTCAAATAAGAAGACATTCAAAGTGGTCTACAACTCGAATGCTGATGTGCCTTGTCTGTGGAAGGCTCGGGTGAATAAGGCCAGACGGCGTGATGATTTGTGGGAAGTAACTGAATGGACTGACCAACACACTTGCATGCAACAGGTCGGCAGAAATGACCACAGAAACGTGACCGCCCATATGATTGCGAATCTTATAATTAATAAGATTCAGAGGAAAGTGGAGTACAAAATTAACATGGTCCAGGCTGATGTGAAGCAATGTTGGAAAGTCGACGTCAGTTACAAGAAGGCATGGCACGGCAGGAAAAAAGCAATCGAGTGTGTATACGGTAGTTGGGAGTCGAACTTCGCAGAACTCCCTCAGTAAGCAAAAATTAATTAAAAATATACGTGTTTTTTATCTGTCATTATGTTTATTTATTTATGAAATTATTTGTATTGCACAGATATTTTGCCGCGCTTCAAAGAACGAATCCAAACACAGTTGTAGATTGGGAATTTCAGGGTGGTGATATGGCGCGACACGTTCCAAACAGAGAATTCAAATTTGTGTTCTGGGCGTTTGGTCCCGCGATTCAAACCTTCCAAATGTGCCTGCCGGTTATTAGCGTCGATGGCACTCATTTACGTGGACATTACAAAGGAAAATTGCTCGTGGCCGTAGCACAGACCGTGAATAAGCGGCTATTGCCAATCGCGTATGCACTTGTCGACGAAGAAAGCACGGACAGTTGGTCATTTTTCCTCAGGAATCTGCGGCGATATGTTGTAGGCGGCTCTACACAGATATGCATTCTTTCTGACAGGGATGTGGGGCTACGCAGTGCGATTGAATCATTACCAGATTGGCAAGAACCCGCTGCGTATCACCGGATTTGTCTTCGACACCTTCGAAGCAATGTGGTGACTAGGTTCAGGAGTAAGAAAATCCGGGATTGGTGTTGGGAGTTGGGTTCGCAGTTGTCGAAGCGAAAGTTTCGACAGACAAAAGAGCGACTTCGTGAATTTAATCTCGATGCATACAATTACCTTTTCAACATTCCTTTGGACCGGTGGACCCTGTATGGAGATGAAAAATGTAGATGGGGCACCTTGACAACGAACATGTCAGAGAGTTACAACAACGTCCTGAAAGGGGTTAGGTTCCTGCCGTGCAGAGCTTTGGTAGACACTACATTTCACAAAACTCTGGATTTGTTTCGACAAGAACAAAACAAGTCCAGCAGATGCAGGACTCCCATTGCTAGGGAGCACTATGCCGCATTTTTGCAGCTGGAGCAAACAGCCGCAACTCACGATGTGGAATGTACAGAATACAACAGATCCATGTACGCGGTGACAACCGGTCTATGTGCTAGTGGAAGAGGGCAAAACAAGTAAGTATATGCTTTTTTTCATTATCTTTTGTTCATTCAACTTTTTTATTTTGTATATATATAAATCAATTTGAAAATACAGGTATAAGGTTGATTACACCGCAAAACGTTGTGCTTGTCGGAAGTGGCAGACGCATAGAAAACCGTGTTCTCATGCAATAGCTGTCTGTCGTAGAATTTCGGGTGACCCAAAGTTGCTATACGATGAGCACTTCTGGACGTCGACCTGGGTAGTTCAATTTACTAATTGGAGTTTCACTCCGATTGGTAATCCGGATACATGGGCAGAGGTGGGATGGAATTTGATTCCGCACTGGGAGAGGATCATCTTGAAGCCTGGACCCGGTCGCAAGCAAACGAGACGCTACCGCATGTAAATGGATCGTCGGGCACGACGCAGAAATGAAAGAGGACATTGTACTAGATGCGGTGATCCAGAGCATGTTGTGGATGAGTGTCCGTCCTCACATCCTCGCAGCGATAGGTCTAGACTTCATGATGTGTGGGGAGATTAGATTTTTTAGTGTTTATTTGGATTTGTTTGGATTGTTCATTTTGGATTTGGTTGGATTATTTATTTTATTTTGTTTGTATGATTTATTTGGACTTGGTTTGATGGTATTTATTGTAATATCCCGAGATTTTAATCAGTATAAATTACGTTTAATTCCGATATAGTAACGTTATCGTTTATTGTTTTCGGAATTAATTAAGTTCAGTCGGAATTGCCGAAATCTATTTTCGACGTATCGTTTACGTTCGAAATAATTTTGGTAATTAAGTAATATGTTTAATTAATAATTAAACATAAAGCTTAGTGATTAATTAAGCTAATTAATCACAAATTAAGCTTAAGCCGTGGGATTAATGAATTTTCCCAAAAATTAAGTTAATTGCCGTAAGCTTTACTTAGGCCTAAGGAAAGGTTTCTCTTCCAATCAACTTATGCCATTTGCTAGTTAAGGGAGAGGCTTAGTCATCACAAGGTTAAGGAGAACTAAGCAAGTGTTTAAGGGAGAAATTGCCACATCTTCCCATCATCACCAAGCCTCTCTTTCGGCTTATATATAAAGGGACACTTAGAGGGAAATTTTGGTCATTTTCCCTTAAGAACTCCGAGCAGCAACTTAGCCTATTTCCTTCTCCATCTATCATATTCATTCAGCAAGCCAAATTCCCTAATTTCCACTCCAAACGCACGGCCCATTTGAGAAGCAATCGCACGGCAAGTCAAGCACCATCGCACGGCGAGTAGGGACCAAGTAGCACGCCTAATTTCCGATTCCCGTCGAGCGTTCAG